GTTAACCTAAAAAAGAATAAAAAAACTTTAGGATTACCCATTTTTTCTTTTTCTCAAACCTCCTACAATAGAACTACCTCATATTTTGCAGCTGGCAGATCAGAAGAAAAAACAATGCGAATGGCTCTATGTTACCCATGATGCAGCTATAAAAGAAGAAGTTGTAAGTATTGACCATTCAGTGTTATCGGTATGCATGTTCTCCATGCTACTCGCTTTCCATTTCCTAAGGTGTCGAGTAGGAGAAATGTGTTGACAATTAAGAGCTTCTTTAGAAAACTTTGGACTATCTTTTATAATTATGCCTAGCCTGAATTAACGGTACATATGTGTTTCTTGGTGTTGCCTTGTAACCAAAAACATCAGATGTCCCATGGAGAAGGGGTGATTAGGGGTTTGAAATTAAATTCTATAGCATACAACTCAATTTGCAAGCTGTCAGCAGGATAGGTATCTTGCCCCTAATTACCCAGAATGCAAAAAACCAAATTTGCATCACAACCAGGGCCAGTCAAAGACTAATAATAACAGGATCAACAACCTGGGCTTCCAGAAAGATAGAAACCAAAATTCAAGGCAAACTTTTTGGTTCATCCTTGACCCATGGCAATTTTCCTATTCAAACAACTGCTCAGCTTTCTGTAACAGTCAGTGATCAGTGGAAAAAATTTTCCATTCCTTTTCCTCTATGAGGAGGTAAGTAGACATTTTGTACAGAAAGTTTTCCGAAGAACTCGTTTCTATCCACATTGTTATCTTTTGAAACTAGATCGATTCCTTGAAGGACTGTAAAGGAAGTGCTGTGTTCAAGTTTGAACCATTTGTTTTACATGTTCAGTGCAGGAATCTTGAATGTGGACAACAAATGGCAAGTAATTGAATTGATTTATGACAAATACTCTATCAAACTATTGATCAGCTGCATAAAATGGTCCTCCTGAGGCACTCCAGAAATCATACATATCTAACCCTTAATTGAAAAATGTGTGGGCAAGGCAGAGACAGATCCAGGGGGATGGGATGGTCTAGAAGTCTGCACATCCCATTCCAATGGACCTGCCAGATTCTTTACTTCTTCTATCACCCTAAATTCCTGGCTATGACAGGATGGCATATTACGTAACCCTTTCACTCTGTCCCAAAATTCTCCTTAATGCCTATATACTGTATAATTCTTATGATGTTTGTTTACTGAGTATAGATACTGTAAGGAGAAATTCTTTCTTGGTCACTAATGGGAGTTTAAGGGTTGATACTACTCAACTTTAAATTTTCAAAATTTACCTATCTTATAGTATTTTTTAGCTTACTCAAACACTTCTGTTAAAGAAAAATTATGTCTGTATTTTCAAAGTCAAAGTCAACCTCCTTAAGGTTGGGACTTGAGGGGGGAGGACACAACTGTGATAATTTATATGATTATCACAGACTATTTATTGTGTTGTTTATTTCCCATCTAGCTCAAAGCTGCACTTATATCTGGCTTTAAGAATTCTGGAATTGTCATTGGCAGGAAGGCCAATGTGATTGTGGTAGGTGTCATTCCTAGTTAAGTTTTGGATGGTTCTCTAATGCTACTTAATAAAAGTTCAAAAGATTTCTTCCTGAACACAGAAAATGTTCTACAAATGACAAGAAAAGAAAAGAAAAAATACCTGCAAAATTAATGTATATTCATAACATGAATAAAAATCTTAAGAGTATATTAGGCATTACTTTTGAGGCATTTTCAGATTTATTTAGTGAATACAATGGTAGACATTAGGGCTTGTGTATTACATTTTGTACTAGGCTCATGTAGCCTTCTACCAAACCAAAAACTTACAAAAAAGCCTTTTCCACAGACTGCACTTGACATCAAATGAAAGATATTTAATCAAAACATACAGGTTGTAACCTTAGTCAAGTAAATCCCTGATTTGAAATAGACTCAAAAGATTGATCTTTTTTAGTAATTAATATCTAACTTAAAATTCTTGTTTGCTTGCTCTTAGGGCAGGATTATTAGATTTAACAGCTCTATATCGACTGAGAAATAAGCTTAACCCTTTAACCCCTCAGAAAATCTAGCCTCTAATTTCTCCATACAGTATCACCCTTAAATCAAATGTAAAGGTCATGAGAATACAGGAACCAATCACCAATTTAAGAAGCCCCTGACTATCAAACAAATTCTCCCTGTCAGTACCATAGAAAATGTTGTAAAAATCACCATGAAGAGAATATGAATGCTAATTTTAGTGTGTAAAGGGTAAAAAAATTGGTAAACACCATATCAGAATATTTTTCCTTGGCCTGTTTTGGTCTATGCTTCCCTTTTACAGTTACTTTTTATTTTACTCACTGTATGTGATATGCATAATTAAATGTGGCAACTAATGGGATCTTAACCAGTCACAGCTCATCACATTTAGCTGATCTATTAATTTTTTTTCAGGCAGTGAGAAGTACACAGAGCTTAGAAGTGCCACTTGTTCACTTGGGAGAACAAATGGTGTCACATAAGGTAATCTGGCAAAATCTTTCCCTACAAATCTGCACTTTAATTTGAAATTTAATGATTAGGGGAAAGAGAGAGGTGTAGTGCAATATTAGTGTAATTAGAAAAAAACAGGGATTGTAAATGAGGTCTTACATGAAATCAAGGTTTCAAGCCTCCTGTTTTAGCTGAAAAAATCCTGTTTTCAGAGTTTATTTTGGACCTTTCAATTTTTGCTCAATATTATTAATAATAATTTTTAAAAATTTTTCTCTGTCAAAGGAAGATTAAGTTTTTCCTGCTTCACCAATGGTCTTTTGGTGTGCTCCTTTTTCTTTTGTTATTTTTTGTTTTTTTTTTTTGTTTGGCTCTATGGGTCCATTGTATTTTGCACTGTATAATGCACTGTATGCAAGAAACACCATTAACAAAAATGCAAAAGGAGCCAATAGGCTCAAAATGCAGAAAATGACATCATGGGATGGAATCTCTGCATGAAGTGAACCATGATTAGGTAAAAGAAATCCTCTCTCCACTTCCTAAGGGATGTACATGCATGTGATGCAATTTCCTTACTAAGGTTTAAGTCACATGTTGAAATACCACTAGTTCATATTTCCTTGAGGAACTACCAACAGTTATTTGATTTGTATATGAATTCAATTCAATTATTATTTTTATACCCCTTGATTTTGACTTTTTTTTATTATTGAGTATGTAGAGTTCCTGGTGGATATTGCAAACAATAAACTTGAAGATAATCAAACAAGAATAGACAGGTATACCTGATATATAAACATTGGTCAAAAAGACTACATTTATAGATAGAAATAAGAGAGATGGTAAATTTTGAGCCTGATAAAGAAACAGTGAAAGATGTTTTTTGTCTTGTCATGAGCATGGGACACAGAAAAAATTCGGAGTCCCCATGAGGAATCAAACCTTAGACCTTCAGATTCCACAAAAAACATGACATACTACCCTAAATAAATTATGTAAAATTACACAATGATACAAATACATCAACTACAAGCACATTCACAACTAATGAAATATACCAACACTCACAGCCAATTAACTTGTAAATGTTATACACATGAGAAGCACTCTTTAGAACATTTTACATTAACAATTTCATTAACTCTTTGACTGCTGACTGGCATCTAATTTCTCCTTACAATATCACCCCTGAACAACTTCACCAGATTAAGGGAAGTAATGGTCTATAATCACCAACTGTGAGTCTTGATTGTAAGGCAAATTCTCCTTGAAAGCACTGTAGGAAATATAAAGAGAATAGTATGGAGAATGTGCATACTGGTGTTAGGGTGTAAAGGGTCAGTAATCACTTTATGAGATAAGAAAGTGGCTTGGTGTTTGTCTGAGTGCCTTTTGATTGAAGTGAAGTTATATTTAATAGTATTCCTTGTTTTGATGCCGATATATGCAAAATGGTCATCATTTTATGTAACATTGCAGATTTTTCAAGAACCTCAAGGACGTATTACATAATCATAGCCTCAGTGACAGCACATCTCAGAAAACAGGTACTTACAATTAGTGATTTCATCACATCCATCCAAATGGCTTTTCTGTGAGTTCCAACCCATTGCTTTATTATTTTAGAAGAATATGCTGGTGCATATCTACCTTAATTGTGAATGGTATCATTTGGTTACATATGCTTACAAGTTCACTCAGTAACTTAGCAGTTTTAACCCTTTCTTGTACAGATAGCCCATACCTTAACAAGTTTGTACTTTTGATTTCAGACCCAAAACAAACTACTGACACCAGAAAAGATGAACTATTTACTGAAGTGACAAGAACCTCCCAGAAATCAAATGCTGATGACTTTGTACATTTAAATGATAATGATGTGCTTGACTGCTTGGCCTCTTTCTATGGGGATGTGTCATGATCTTCATTGTTTGGGCCAGGTTTAGGTAACTGTGCACAGTTGAGCCCAGATCAAAGAGCAACCTTTTAGCACTAAGAAAATTGGGAAAATTGGCTCACTTCTCTTAATTTTGGAAATTATAGGGGAAATTGTTACTTATCATCAGAACATGGCACTGTTGTAGGAGATCTTTCTTGCAATATTGTTTGATTCTTAACTGAGTGTTAATGGCAAAAGGACCAGTGAGAGCCTGATGCTGCAAGATTCAGTGCACTGAAGACTCTTTCATTTGATTCTGACTGGTCAGTTGTGTCATGACTGATCCCAATAAAGATTGAGGAAAGCAAGTAAACCTAAGTAAACAATGCCTGTGTGGAAGTTTTCTTGTGTCTGGTTAGCTGTTTCTTTGAAACACAACTCCATTCATCATTTTCTAAGGTTCACTGTAACTTTAATGTCAGTGGTACTCCTTTAGAGTTCTTTCGAGCTCTAAAGCCAGTTGAAGTTCGTCCCAATATCTAGGCTTGCTAGTCCACAGTTTCACACAAGGTGGGAAGGGTCTCCTTACTGACTGACCTAGATGAATAACTGGTTACATACAAATAACACAAGGCCTACAAATTTTGTTATCAGTACTTTGTTTATTTAAACTGTTTTCAAATTACTATTTAGTATGATACTAGCACAGGCAGCACACCAGCATTTGACACGGAAAATCATTCTGTGATAATTTTAACTGCCATAACTGCTTTAATTGTAACATACAACACAGGGCCTCAACTTTTTCTAAATGAAAAGTAAACTGTCTGCATTCAAACTCCAGAAACATAGTATCTTAACTGCACACCACTATGCTTCCAAAATTTATCTAATAATATTAAACATAAGCACAATGCAAAAGAAAAAAAACCAAAACAAAAACAGTATGAACTTGGTGTATAAAACATTTCAAAGTGGCAATAATCGGTTCTCCCAAGGAAAAATCAGAAAAATAAGGTTTACCAATACTGAATGACGACTATTCAGTGATGGAGATGATAATTGCAATTCTCCTCAAGTATACCCACCCCTACTGAAATTACCCAATCTGCCAGGGAAAATTGAACAGTCATTTCTGTAAGCATGTTTGTGACTTCCCCTTTCCTTGAGCATTTTCCAAGTATGATAATTTTTTTTTAGGCCATGATTACACAGCATAGCTTTTTAAATATTTTTTGGTGTTACTTCCAATTCTTGTATAGCATATCCACAAGAACTAAGAAATATTTCACGTCTGAGATGCTTTAAAATAGAGCACCTGTTTTCAATCACAAATGTTTTCATCTATTTTCATTACACCTACAATACACTAATGCATAAAAAGTAAACAAAAACTGCAGGGTATGTAAACAATGCCAATTTACTGCATGTGGCAATGCATTGCAAGAAACAAGCTTGAAGCGAGTGACCTTCATTTTTGTAGTTTTGATCCTTTTTTTCTTTTTACCAGTTAGTTCTTTTTGTTTTATTTTTTAGTTTGTTTTATTTCTTTTTGCAATTTTTTTTTTGTTTTTCTTCTTTTTTTTTTTTTTGAGTCTTCGAGTCTTTACTTGCATTGTTTAATTGTTTGCATCACATATAAATACAATATATACTTCACTGCATGCAAAGTGTTCATTGAAAATTAAAGGCAACTAAAATTAAAAGACCCTATCAAATGTGCTGCTAGTAACACTTAGCTGGTTTGCAGCCCCCACACGAGACTGTCCAGCAGCTGGTGGTTGCACTTGACCTCTGCCACGATGTGGAGGTGCCAAGAACTCAAACATTGAAGTATTGACCGAGCTTAATGTACGTGTCAGGTCAGATGGCAATGGGTCACTCCAAAAGAAATCATGATTCAAAGCTGTATCTGCATCAATTCTTTGGCCAGGATCTATGGTCAAAAACTTGTCAATTAAATCGAGAGCAAGGGGATCCTTCACATAGTTTCTTAATCTTTCTTTCACTCGTCTTTTCTGATTTGCCGGTAGGATCATTTTACTAAACAGATCCAGTTTCTCTACCCCTGGCCATACATCAGCTGCAATGGAGCCACACAAGTGACTTATTAAGGTTAACTGATTTTGTTCAGTATTCCCTTGCATGATAGGGTTTCGTGTCCATAGCTCTGCCATAATGCAACCTGCTCCCCACAGATCAATGGGAGGACCATAGTTTCTTTCTCCTAACAAAAGCTCTGGCGGTCTGTACCAAAGAGTGACAACTCTATTGGTGTAACGCTGGGTCTGCTCCTTGTTCAGGTGAATAGCACGTGCCAGACCAAAGTCTGCTAACTTCAGCACACCATTCTTAGTTATTAGAACATTTGCAGCCTTCATATCTCGGTGCAGGATTTTATTACTGTGTATGAAGTACAGTGCATTTAGCAACATCTGGGTAAGTTTTTTCATCTCTGACAAAGAGAACTTGATCTGATGGTTGCTTAGAAGGCCAGCTAAGTCATGTTCGCAGAACTCAAACACAAGGTATATACTTCCTTTATTGCGATTATAGGGAGAGGCTAGAAGACAAAAGAAAAAGAAAATGAAAAGAGTTAATGCACACTTCAACAGAGGGGACATATCTAAAAGTAGAGTTGATGCTCACTATTATCCCATTCATGTTGTAAAGGACACAAAATAAAACTTACAAATTTGTCTCCATTCAGAAAAATAACCTCAATTTGGAAGAGGAAAATTATTTTGAAATATATATTGCACAGATTAGTATGCAGTGGGACACCTCTTTCAGCATGTTAGAGAAAATCCCTCAAGTAATTTCATTTTACAAGCAACAGAAATCTTGAATCACCTAAAAATTTGTGCTGAAATGTTCTGAGAATGGTCGTCTAGAAAACACAAAGCACCCACAACACCACATGCCACTGCACCTGAATCTATTACATTTTCCTGTCCCAAAAGAGTATGCTCATTTCAATGTTGATTACAACTAGCTCCTTGAGAAATTTCCCTTTCTTTGGAGTCATTCATGATTTTTTTAAGTTCTTCACTTAGAAAATGACTAATTTTCCCCCTCAAGTGCTTAATGACTGTCACATCTTAGTAAAAGAACTCCACAACGTATTGATGAATATGTTGAGGATGCAAAATATAACTTGCAGAATGAGAAACAGTTTAAATACTTCTTGATAAGGAGAAAACCTCTGAAAAATAAGCTGCACTACTTCCAAGGCACTGTCTATCCTGACATCACAACCACGATTCTTCATAAAATGAGAAAATCTGTTTACATTGATTACCCTGAAAAATATTGTCCTGTTTGGCCCTCATTAATGAGTAAAATACTAGATGAATATTTAAAATAATTTAACTCTTAGATATTTTCAGTGACAATTAGTTGCAAATCTTCGAAGTAGTGTCTCTCTTATATTGTTAAACCACACGACTTCCGCGTAAAGTAAAGAAGGAGCAGTAGACATGACATAACCACTCAAACAACACAAAGTATAGTTTACTGATGTTAAAAATAGTTATGTTTCTTTGAAAATGAAGAGATACACCTGAAATTAGACTAGCAGCGTCATCGACACTTTAACTACGCCGTCACGTCCATAAAAAGTATACTGGTTGGAGAGTTATTTCAACATCCAGTTGCTGGACAACTAAAACTTCAACTCACCTTTCGTTCGACAAATTTCCAACAGGTTGACCACGTTTTCATGTTTCAGCAACTGAAGTATCTTAATTTCTCTGAGGGCGGTGATCGGGAACTGAACAGTGGTGCAAAAAACACCAAAAGTTCAGTGACTAGAAAACAAGCACGGAAACTACTACATTTAGCAAATCACTCATTTACAACAATAATAGGTATATACCCCTTCTTTCTCGTTGTCCATGAGGACCTTCTTGAGGGCAACGATTTCTTTAAGATTCTTTCGGTTGCGTGCCTTGAACACCTCGCTGCAAAACAATTCTTAAAATAAACGACAAAGTCGAATTATCAAAATGGCGGACTGAAGCAGTCAACAAACCCAAAAGTTCCTTGACCAATTTTAACCATCCTTTCGTATTTGTTGACATCATGGCAGAAAGGGTAGTCCAAGAGGTCTTTACTCATCACAATTACGCGACAAACGAGGGTTGAAAATGGTGTTTTGGCAAAGAGAAGACAATCGCGTACGAAACCACGTTGTCCTCCTTACGCCGGTAAAATGAAGGTCACAGGAAGCAAGTTTCCCGGATGAGAAGAAACCCAAATAATCCTTCCCAGAAGTCAACGTGCTCACCTTCAAAATGGCGTCTTGTGACGTCATCGACCTAAGATTCTCATTTTCCGAGAAACGCGTGGAAAATTTCAGACGAAATCTCCAATTTCACATTCTAATTTTGCATTTACACTCGTAATCTTGCTTAAGCTTGGCAATCAGATCACTAAACGACTCATCTCTTGACGAAAATTGCGCCTCCCCACGAAATGTCCCTCTCTGCATTACGAACTTCGACAAATCGTTATTGTCGAAAAAAGGCGCCGTCTTTCTCCTCTTATTTTCCTGGATATAATTGTCAAGTTGATGTCAGTCTCGAAATGAAAAGCCTGTGACAAGAAGATTTTTTTCTCCTTAGTGTTCTCGCTAGAGTGAATGCCTTTCTGATTGTAACTGAGCTGATAAAAGAGAATTCCCGTTTATATACTTGGAAGGACGCTGGGATTTCTGGGATTTCAACAAACCTTTGCATTGTGGGAAACTCGTAAACAGTATTGTTGTGTCTCGACTTCTTGACCACATGAACAGCGAATGACCGTCGTAAACAACGCAGAAATGTGGCAGTTTAGGTTCTTGTTGCTATGTCTCCTGTTTCTTTTACTCGGACTCATTCTTCTATACAGAAAATCGCGAAGTTTTCGTTTCCGTATAAAGTATATTGGCTACAACTTTGTGATCATGTTATCCGCCATTCATTGGACCTTTGTTGGTTTGTGCCATCCATTTGATGTAGACAACTTTCATCGTTGCTCCGGCATCTTGTACAATTTCCTCGTCAGAGCCTACTCGATACGCGCTCAAGTTGAAGGACTTGAGATCTTTGATACTCTCAAAGAGAAGAATTTCATTATTGTAGCCAACCATCAAAGTTCGCTTGACGTTTTTGTGTTGCTTCAGACGACACCCCGTAGAACCACGTTCTTAGCGAAAAGGGAACTACTGTATGCACCTCTGTTTGGATTTGCGGCCTGGCTTTTTGGAGTCGTATTTGTTGATAGATCTAACGCCAAGAGTGCGAGAAACGTCATGGATAAAACAGCAAAAACGATGCGTGATAAAAAGGTAACTGGTGATCGTATAGGTGGTCAACAGAGGGGGGCTGGTTTCAAACTTCAATGGTCATGCTAACGGCCGAGACAACAATCGAAGAAGTATTTAGAATTGTTTCTGATTATTTCAAGCCTTGAAGCAGTGAAACATCAACTGGGAAATTTGAGGTCCAAAAAGATCCAAATTATAGCTATCTTGGTATCTTTCTGAGGACCCCTAGAGGAATGCTAATGAGAAATTTCTTTATGCTTGTCAGCACAAACTTTGGATCAAATAAGCTGTTAAAATTTACCTTGCTCCCAGCTGGTAGCTTTTTGGCTTAATAACAGGGCCCTGTGGGTGTCTGGTGGACAGGGGCTCAAACCCTGTTGAAGCATGATATTTTTCTGGCTTCTTTTTCAGCAGTTTTTTTAATTATAATTAGTTCACCTGTGAGGATTTTTTCGCTGTTTGGTGAAAATTTCTCCCAAAGCTTTCTAGGGTTATTAAGCTTAGAAATATAATATAACCTTACACATAAGATACACATAACCGCCAGTAGATTGAGCTGTTGACCAAGTCTTCTGCTCACAGGACACAGGTTTTACACTGTTATTACTTTATTTGTAACTTGCTAAAATGTTAGCAGTAAATATTAAATAAATTAAATATCAGATGTTCTCATGTTATTTGCAGATTAATCTTTGGATCTTTCCAGAGGGCACAAGAAGCCAGAGTGGTACATTTCTCCCATTTAAGAAAGGTGCCTTCCATCTTGCCATTCAGGCACAGGTATGTTGTCTGGATTCTCTCAAGTTGATGTCCATTAACACATGTGAATTTGGAAAGTGTTGAAAAGGGATAATGCACAGAGGGATGACTTGAAACAACTCACAAGATGGAGGATTAATGGCAGGACAAAAATGCAGGCCAACTTCATGGTTTGGTGTTTTTCATTAGACAAAAGTTATGAATTGAAAATAATTAATAGTCTTTGTGAACTTGATTATTCATAAAGACAGTTAAAATATTCATCTATTAATAATACTTAATATGTAAAAGTAGTGTAAAAATTAAATGGAACATTTTATGGAACTTCAGAATGAAACAATCATGTGTGTTTTGTTTTAGCTTCCTATTGTTCCTATTGTAATCTATGACTACTCTTCAATTTTCAACAAGAAAAACAAAGCATTTGAACATGGTAAGTTTCAGGTAGCTTTTTCATTTTAGTACTAAGAAAAATTTAAGTCCCAGAGGTGATTAACATGTAACTTCTCCATAAATCCACACATTATACAGCATACAGGTAATGAGAATACTCAAATGTATCGGTAGAAGTTGTTACCTCCTCCTTTCCCACCCCTTAGATGATAGTAAATTTTGATTTTGACAGAAATATTTTATGAGGGGATTACTAGAATGGATGGGTGGATGGACTAGGGTTCCACCTCAGTGCAGGATCGCTGCCTTATTCCACTCACACTCTCTTGTCTGAATATTTTTTTTATTTTCCTTAGTCAGCCATGGCCCACAGTTCTGCACTCATTAAAAACTTTTTTGTTTCAAAAGCAACCTTGCTTAAATGTGTTAGTTTGCCTTAGAGGGCACTTTGATTGATCTACACATATTGTACCACCCTTAAAAACAATTACCCACAAATGTAGAAAACAATCTTGAAGGGGCTAATCACTTTTCCTTTTCTCATTGGCCACCTCTAATTATTGGATAAGGTTGGGCATGATATCATGAATTATCAATGCTGAGGTCTGAGTTATCTGCCAAAACTGAAGAAATGCAACATGCCATGGTGGAGACAATTCTATAAGCAGTAAAATCACTGCATATTTAATTTAGCAAATAACCAAATATGGCATACTGTCAAACAAATTTTAACATATCATAACACACCATAAGAAAATGCAATGATTATATATTCTTAACCAATATGCAAAATAACACACTTTCTCAGAGTTGGCAAAAGTTTGAGCACACTAATGGCAAGGGGCTTGGAAACTAGGCAGACTTTGAACTTTACATGATAATCCAATATTTGTTGCAGGTATTGAGTTATCATGTCAACTTCATACACTATTGTATATTGACTGTATGTTCTTGCCCAATCAGAGTTTTCATAGAAAGCCTAATGTATAAAAATTTTCTCTACATTGTTTGGGAGTTATGATTACTTCGTTGAATGAATGGTGGAAGTAGGGATTACTAGAATTAAGGTGTTGATGATAACTTTATTCAGTTTGTCAGAGTGTCATTTACTGTCACAGACATTGACTCCCTTTGACTACTCTTTCCATGTTGATTGCACATCACATTGTGTATGAGGTAACCTAATTGTCAGTCACACTGATGCTGTCTTAACTCTTTAACTCCCAAGATCTCACTATTAATTCTCCTAACTGTCTGTCATTCAGTTCTTGTGATGTTAGTTTTGAGAATTTGGTATTGTATCAACTTATAATCCACTGATTGATATTTTTCTTTATTCTCATCACACGTCTGCTTGATATTGTAATGATATTGTAAGGAGAAATTCTGTCTTGGTCACTCATGGGAGTTAAAGGGTTAAATCATAAACTTATTAGTTAAGTTTTTCATGTGCCATCTTGTAGGAATCATTAAAATTAAAGTGATGGATCCCATTTCAACTGATGGCCTTGCAGCCGATGATGTTGGGGAGTTAACTGATCATGTTCGACAAGAGATGCTGAAAGTTTTCCATGAAAAGGACTCTTCAGGAAGCCACCAGAATTCAGTACCAGCAGGAGAGAAAAAGAATGAGTGACACTAACATTTACATTAAATTAAAGCAAGTTGAGCTTAAATTCAATTCTATGTGGAGTTTTAAGTGTGTTTTAAAAATGAATATGATCAGAAATGAAATTATTTTACTAAAGAGATGGATTGTACATTGAATTTATAGTTTCCAGTCCCATTACAATTTTTGGTGCTACGTAATCTATTGGGCTAAAATAGCCAATGATGCTTGTGGACCTTCTTTCGCTTGCAAGGTTTTGAAGTTTTGATTGTAATTCAATTAACTCCAATAATACAAACAGAGTGATCTTGGTGTTTACTTTATTTAATTTTGAAACTCAAAATTTTAAATCATAAAGAGATCTTTATTTTAATTTTTATGAATGAAATAAATCAATAACTCTATTTTAATTTTCAGACAAACATCTGGCTTGAAATACTTGTAATCTCTTTGAGTCTTTTTTTATTTTTTAAATTATTGTGTTCAAACAAATGTTTTAATGGCTTCTATTTATAAATAAAGGATTTGTCTTTATCCCAGCATTTGTGTACTTCATTGAATTTGTCTTGTCTCAGCCCAAGAATCTGTGTGGATAGTACAATGGGAACTGCTCTTACTAAGTGATTAGTTTGTTCAAAAAATAATTTGTCATGTGGAAGAGTGAGCCCTTTTGGTGCCTTTAGGTGCAGGCTAAATGTTAACACTTATGAAACAGTCACCCAAGAAGGAATCTGGTATTCAGTACTTGTTTAATTGTTACTCCATCACAACCGTTTTTCAAATGCTAAATTAATTTGCATATGTTTTTTCCCAAATGAACACTTAAACATGACCTAAAACACACCTTTAATAAGTAATATGTTTGACCTCAAGGACAATTAAGTAACATCCGTATCCATAAAATGTACAAGTCTCGGATTGCAATTGTTAAACTTTGAGGAGTTGTTTATAGAGCTGAGCGCTTTGCAATTGACTGTCATAGAACCCAAACCAAAGTTATTACAGGGGCCAATCGGAGGACAGGGAAATACCCTGAAGAGCCGATCAGAACTCAAAGTAAAAACAAGCAAATCGCCTAAAGCGCGAGAAAACGCGGGCGACCAAGTCGTGATCGATGTTAGTTTTTCTTATCAATGGTCTGGAGAGTGGTGCGAGTTCCCGGACCAAACTCATAGAGCAAGGTAAACCAAACCAATTCAAGCCTGGATTACTTTCGACACAATTTAATTTTGCCCTGGTAAGAAATATCTCTTTGCTGAAAAGACCTCCCCTCGCATAAATTGTGACGTTCAGGCGCGTTAAGGGGTGTAGATACGGTCTTCAATGGACATGCAACTTTCAAAGAAGCACGCATGATTTTGTTCGCCAATCATATCAACTGAAGTGCGATTTCTGTATTTTTCATCTATCAAAGAGGCTGAAATAGTTTGAGGCAGCTATATTTACTGGCTAGTACTGTTAATGCCGTTTTCTTGCAGTGACTTTTCTGCAGAAGCTGTTAACCCGCCCCTAAACATGTTGTTCTCGCGGCACTTACTGCAATGAGCAAGCTGAATTTGCCCTGCCGGACCACACTACAAGAAATTTGCACCAAATTGGTAATGTAACCTTCTCGGGCGGCGTTTGAATACCTTTAAATGCATACTCGAAAGATAGTTTGAAAAATGATCACGCGAGCAGATCTAAATTGAGTTAAATCCTGCGCGTAATCCCAAGCGATTCTGAACGATTCCATGACGTCATATGTCCAACAGATTAAAAGCCTCTTAACGTGGATCAAGTTTGTAAAAATGTGTATCTCTTAAAGGAAAAACGATTGTTGCTATTGGTTAGTAAACATGGCTAAACTTGCCCCAAATGTAATAAAAGATAACAAAACCCTAAAATTTCTACTTCTGTAACGACAATTTTCAGACTACTTTTCTGCTCTCTCAGAACTACAAAGACCCCGTCTCTCACCTAGTTTTGTCAAAGTTTCTGCTAAACATCCACTTTTCTTGCTATGGAGATTCTCTTTTTAAATTCACGCAAGAAACTTATTTGTTGTCTCGTCGTTTTCGTTGCCTTTACTATAAAGGAGACAGAAGGCATTCCAACACCTCATGATTCACCACATCAGGCGGTTTAGGCAATGTCTTGTAGAAAATCACAGTGTCTCTGTTGTAAATTCTGATTTCCTTTTCGTTACTCTGTACCGCCTGTGTACTAAGGGATTCGCTTAGGCTACTGTTGTTTACTGTCTTCGTTGCCTTTACTATCGAGGAGACAGAAGACTTTTTCCAACAGCTCATGATCCAACCAAGCCGGTGGTTTAAGCGATGTCTTGGGGAAAATTACAGCGTCTATCTTGAAAAATCTGACTTCTCTTTCGTCACTCTGTTCCGCTTCTGTATTAAGGGACTCGGCTAAGCTTCTTCGTTCCTCGTTTCCCCTCAGCGTTTCCTTAAAAGTTGTCAGCCAGGATAAGACAGCAGCTTTTTGGTTTTCTGACATGACTTTGTGTTTCTTACTCAAGACCTGCGCTACGAAATCGACACAGTACCACGAGAGGTCTTGCTCTGAACACAGAACGCTAGGGATTTTGCGAAGAATGGATTCCACTGCGTCTTGAAGGACATCGTTTAAGTAAGGCTTGCTCGGTGCGTACTGCAACACCAGCGAACAAAACAGCACCAAGCTTGGTGTTAGAACATTAACACTGAGTACGCACAATTGTGACTCCAAAACGATTCTGTTCCAAGGATTGCATGCGAAGTCTGAGGTATTTGGGACATAACCGAGAAAGCTTGTTAAGCACTTAACTGCGCACTGTCTTACAGTCTCACTGTCATGGACTAACGAGTTCTGTATATAAACAAGCAGAACAAGGAGGTCTTCATCGGATAGTTTCTCGAGAGAAGGTTCGTTTGCGTCGTTACCATTCGACAATACCAAAATGGGGTTCACTAACTCCTTTCTAGTTTTGAAGAAGACATCCCAAAAGACAAGACTTGCAAGACCCAAAATGCTTTGCCCTTCATTGACAAGATTAATCATACATTTTTTGTCGAGACTGAACATATGCTGAGCACCTTCCTGAGACAACATCTGGGAGATTGCAAGGGATGCGATGAGAACCAAAGTGCTTGCGAGAAGATTGACGTCCTTGACAGAGTCCGTTCGCAGTTCGACAGTGTTTACCAGTTTGGAATTCAAAATATGTTCGACAAAGCTACAGAAAGGCTTGTTGGATAGAAGTACCGCAGCCACCCGGTAATTTTCTCTATTCGTATCCCTAGCCAGCAAAACATTCAGATAATTTATGGCACAAACTGCAAATCTTTGATCACCGTCTGAGGAAGTCAACAAGTTGATTACGCGATACAAAAGTTTGACGTCAAATGCCGGGTTGGCCTGCATCTGTACTGTTGTCATCACATTCAGCATGGTAGAAATAGAATGGTGTGCGAGAGGATGGGACTTGTGGCTTGAAAAAATCTTGAGGAAAATGCTAGTTATCTGGATTGCTGTTGATTTTAAGTGAGGTGCACTTATCTTGGCTGGGATAGACTTTGAATCTCCAGACATCATTGCTTCTATAATGATCCCTACTCGACTAACAAGGGTCTCCATGTTATGATCAATCAGTGAGACAAATTCTCGAAAACACGGATCGTTTGAAATTAAAAGTTGTTGGAGTTCCTCGTCAGCGGAACAGTTCTGAGTCTTTTCGCTTCTAAGAAAGCAAATCAAAGCCTGTCGACCAAAGGCGTGTGCTAGAGGTTCACGAGAAAATATCCAGGAAAGGAAAAGAATGTTTTGAATGTGAATTGACTCAAATTCGTTTGGTGTAAAATTCACCAAATTCTGCTCCAGAATGTTTTGAGCGACGTCCATGTTTTCCATGACGTCAGTTAGCAGTGTCAGTTTACTCAGCCTGCTGTAGGGTGCAATCCAAAGATACAGTAAGTGTTTCAGAGTGACACGAGGCAGAAGGCTGAGATCGGAAAGAAGCACTATATACTTGTGCAAGCTTGTTGCGAGGCTTTCGAGGGAGACAATCAAGTCACCATGAGTAAACGCCACGTACATCAGTTCGATGCAAGCACATTGTGAATTGAAGAGAGAGACGTCATTTATCTCAGTCGTGGCAGACTGTCTCACTGGGCATTGTGTAAGTATGTTTAGGCAAGCGATTACGGAATGGATACCAGCAATATTGCTTGTCTGAAGCACTTCCTTTAGCTGGGTGGTGTCGCAACTATCGGCAAGAGCAAGGCACAGGTCTGTCAAGAAACGCCCTGTGACGTCTTCGAGCTCTTTGCCATCTGGACGTCTACAAAAGCTCTCTCTGATCTCTAGGGAGAGTCGAACAAAAGAACCTGACGCTAGTTTCTTTGCAAAATCGTGTCTGTAACTATTCACTGAAGACACTGAGAGAGAGAGAATCTCAAAAAAGCTTTTGAACACTGCAAGACATTCGATAGATTCGTAGTTCAGCATCAAGGCCGGTACACATGTCTGATCGATAGCTTTCCACAACGAATCAACAAACTGCTCAAGTATTTCATTCTCATATGAAACCGTTGATTCATTCCTTGTCAGCAGGGCTGCGTACGACGGTTTCCTTACCTGGAACTCTTGACCAAATAGTAAAGCCTTCTTGATAACCTCCAACAAAGCACCCAGAAGTGCTCCAAATGCTCCTAATGGATAAACAAATTTTTGTTATGCTGAGGTATAAATACGACCAGAAACGTTTAGGTGGAGCGGCTTTCAAAGTTGTTTAGTAATATTAAAAGTGCAAGAAAAGGTCAGGCATTCAGCGATTTTCGGAAAAAGTGGAAATATATCTAATAACTTGTCTCGCTTAAGAGCATAACACTGCGACCTTGGTCATAGCTTAAATCTGCTCTACAGGTGTTGGCTAAACTTAACCTAGAAGGGGTGTGAGCTGACTCTTTCAAAAGGATGCGGAATTAAAGAATGGCTTACCTTTAGGAATATTTCGGAAATATATCCTTGGCTTTGTGAATTTTTCCATTTGGGAGATCACAGTTGACACAAGAGGACCAACAGCTTCAAACGACACCGATGAGGGAAAATGATTGATGTTTAGAAATTGCACCACAGCACAAGCTGCCTGAGTGATAACCCTGTGATCTGCAGACTTCAAGCTTTGGTGCAGGATATCAGCACATTTCTTACAAAGCTCCTCGTTTGGGAAGAGTTGAACGTTGAAAGATTGCGAAGATAAAATTAGGGAAAGCACACGAATTGCTTGCTGAATGATTTCAGGATTCTTGAACTTGATGGATTTTGATACACCGACGATTACTGACTCGATGCCGTAGACAGAGTAGCCTTCGGTGTAGAAGACATCGGCTCTCACTATGTGATCCAAACAACAGAACACCGAGGCCAGAATTATGTCATTTGAACACTCCAAGTCCTCAAGAAGCATCTCTCCTATTCCACATCTTAGAATGACCCTGGTAAATGATTTTTCTTCAGAATCATGTCGTAAAATACGAGTGATGCATTGTATAGCTCCAGTCTGAATTGCCTCGTTTTGTGATAGCATCAACTTCTTTAAACTCTCAAGAATATCGCTTTTACCTTCGTTTGGTGGTTTCAAAACGGACATTAACACATCTGGCTGTGTAGTGAACATTTTAAGGACCCCAAGGGCGTTAACTTGAGTATCGAGACTTACAGAACAGTTGATAACAGCGCATGTTTGTCGGCACATTTTCTGTCGGATTTGGAAATTTAACTCCTTCACCGCTTCTTCACTGGAGCATACTTGTACAAGTATGAATAGAAAGGCGACTTTAATGGACTCTTCAGGAAACACAATGTTAGAGATAAAATATTCCAAAAGAGAAGACGAATTCTTGGCAAATACTTGAGACAAAGCCGGGATCGATTTTAAAAGTCGCCCTAAGGCGAGAACAAAAGGATAGGATTTCCTGAAATTGTTTAACCGCAATATTTGGTTCTCTAACGTTTCCATAACTTTCTCCACAAGTTTTTCAGAACGCAGCTTGACAGTAATAATATCGAGTGCCTCAACTGCTGTGTTCATCAGAAGCTCGTTCTCTGATGACAACAAATCCATTATTGTGCTGCAAAGGTGCGAGACAATCTGCGTACTTTGACAGAAAAGCTCCAAGACATTTTGATTGTTCGTAAGAAGAAAAACAATCTCTTGAAGAGCCTTGCGTTTGCGAAGGTGAAGGACATTTGGACTCTCCAAAAGCTCTACTAGACACGCTACGCAGACTAATGTAACGTTTCTTCCTGTCATTCGCCACTGTGAATCATGCTTTGAGTGATTTGAAGTGAAAAAACTAAGCGAATTTTCCGTCGGCTCCATTCTGCCAACTTGCGATACTTGCAGGACTGGCAACGGAATGTGAGCCCGCGAATGTAAAGAGCTTGTGTGTTTCAGGTGCGCATGTGTATTACAGTTGTTTTTGGAGGGAAAGTTCAAAATAAATAACGAAGTAATCGGAGTACGATTTCCATAACCGACCAGAAATTTTCTTATCCTGTCGCAGTTTGTAGCCTGCTTAAGGATGGCATCTGACGTAACTGTGGATATGAAAGAAGGTAAGTGCTATTTTGCTTGAACTGTGTAAAAATATCTCTGTCGACAACATCTTCCATCGCCCGACCTCGCTGCAATGTTTGTTTTCGAATATCGTACATGAAGACCCAATAACTTTATTAGGGATACGATCTGTCCGTTATAACAGGGTTGGTTTGTAAAATAGTTTGTGAGTACTGAAAATAGATTCCGTTTGTATTAGTAAACTTACACTATCAGACAAATATCTGCTTTTGCCGAAGAAGTACCGCGTACGTCTTAGTACTAGTACTGTACAACTTGCTGTAAACTGTACGTGCCCCCGTTTGATCTGAGGTATCTGCTAGCTTATTACAGGCTCAGAGATGACACACGTATCCGAACTACAACGACATAAGGAAACGCAAATTAGAGACTTTTTTAAGCAAAGTCAGTTAAATCGATATATCACTCCAGTTAAACACGACCGTTACTTTGTTGTATTTCAGGGGAAAATCCATTAATATGCTCAGAGAAAAGACTCACAAAGGTAGTTGTTAAAGTTTTGTGTGTTTTATTCCTATTTTTTAAGACATACTTAAATTTAATCCCTAAGATCGACTAGCATCCAATTCCTCCAGACTATATCACCACTGAATCGAAAACTAAGGCCATGATAATCAAAGAAATAATTGCTCATTGATTTGATCGTCAGAGCAATTCTCCTACTCAGTAATGGAAAATATGTAGAGAACACTTTGGAGAAAGTGCTTTCTGATGTTAGGAGCATTGTTACCACCTGTGGGAGGATGGAAGCGTGATGGAGGGTTACTCCAGGTTTTGGCAGGATTCCCTGACAATGTGCTGGTTCCTGTTGTACTCCTCTGGGTTGTTCAATTAGCTAGGTTAAGATAACCCAAGACTGGTGTGAAATCTGACCAGATAGATCTGATAGCTTTAAAAGAATATTCAATACAATTCTTTTGTCTACAATTTGATGCTTGAATGCTTGAAAAAGAAAAGAGAAAATTATTGGAAAAAGATTTAAAGAAAGAAATAGAGAAACCCAGATTAAAACTTAATCCTGGGTCAGCACTAATTTGGCCTTAATGTTTTGACCCCTTAGAGTGACTAGCATCTAATTTCTCCTTACAAGATCACCCCTGAATAAAACATTAAGGTCATGAGAATAAGGGAAATGACTGACAACTTAAAAAGTTCTTGATGGTTAAACAAATTCTCTTTGTTAGCATCCTAAGAAATGTATGTAGAAAGTGTAGAGAATATGCATACTTATGTTAGGGTGTAAAGGGTTAAAAAAGAACTGGGCATAGGGTAAAGAGAGGCAAGTGTGAGAGTGCTTGTCTTGCAAAAGTACACTACTCAGTAACCTGGCTATGACTTGTAGTCTGACTTGGACACTGTGTCACCAACTGATAACAGTTATTGCAATAAATAATTTCTTGAATACAATATGCTGTTGTTTGAAAAAAAAATTAACATTTTTTTTGCATATCATCAATAGGTACAGCAAGCAAAACTGGAGGCACTTGCTGCCTTTGGCAACTGTACATTTGATTCCTTGGTTGTTAAAAGGGAAAGCTTCAAGTCAAAACTCAATTCAACTGCAAAGGCTGCTGCCACAAGAAAAGAAAATGTGAAGAGGCTTACTCGGTAAGGACTGATTATGTGTTTTATCAAGGCAATATCCTCTGATTGAAGATTTTCTGTTTTTCCTCTTAACTACCTGCTTTAAACTGTATCAATATTGCCAAATAGAATTTTATTGCAAGTCAATCCTGGGAGTCCAAATGTACCTGAGCTTAGTTGATAACAATGTTTATCTTGGTCTCACTCTTATCAATTTTCTTTTTGTTATTACTATTATCTTTTGGTGAAAAGACCCCTCAACTGCTTAAGACTGAGTGTCAATTTCACAAGTTGAGTATCAATTTCACAACCTGAAGGTTCCTGCAACAATCTCATGTTTCAATTGTTTGCCATTTCTACAATCATGTTCTAACTGAGTTGCTTGGGGAGAAGTGGCCAAACACAGAGAGTGACACCAAAGACTTATCAGTCTAAAGTTTCAATATGTGAACTTTGTTAGTTTTGCATGCAGAACAGCACACACAAAAATTCTTAAAGTGCTGAGCCTCATGCTGGATGCCAAATTAAGCTGGTTTAACAACACATTAAATAATTAAAAAACTGAATGTGAGTCTTAAACACCACCTCCTCTCTTGATCTACCTCTGACTTCATGTAACTCACCATAGCAGCACAATTTGAACAAGGAATCATTACCCAAAAAATCAGAACGGAATGTTAAAGAAGTCAATTGCTCCTTGTAGAATTACTCAGTAGGGGTACCATTAGAAATGTAAACTCCAGTTTCATAGCTGCCTGTTATGGGAACCTTTTCCCATGGAATCGATGTAAAATATGAGCCTTATAGTATGATTTCCAAATCTTAAAACAAAAGTGTTTTTTTTCTCTACTGAACCTTTATTTGTTATTTTCATGAAATAGCAAAGCGGTCATACATAGAATACTTTTGTCCTCTAGAATGGAAAAAGCCAGACAGGAAGCCAATGAAGCATTCAAGAATATTCGTCTCGGCCAGAAACGAAAAATTAGTGTGCGTGAGAAGAAAACAGAAACACATGACCCCATCAATGCAAAAAGAAAACTCACAAGACTTGAACAATGTAAACTTGAAGCACAGCAAGCTTTTGGAAATGTTCCTTTGGGTACACTGGCAGAAAATGTAGAAAAGAAAGATGGGCAAAATAAGATTCAAAGACACAGATCAAGTGCAGGAACCAAACACTCAGGACTTGAGAATAAAGATACTGCACAGAACAACACTAAAAAAAGCTTTGACAAGAGATCTTTGGAAAGAATTATGAAAGAAAAGCGGAAATCTATAAATAAGGGGAGACAAAATAGAAGGTCATCAACTTTGCGAAGAAGGAGTTCAGCCATGATGCGAAGACGAAATTCTGCCAAAAGTAATAGACTTACCAAGGTCCAAGCCTCACAGTTAGAGGCTCTTCATAGTTTTGGAGGCCTGAGCCTTGACAAGTTGAGTTCCTCCAACAAGAAGGCCTGTGAAGCTGAAGTAAAGGGTGACCAAGTGGCTGTTGACTGTGAAACTGTTGAGGAAGGGAAAGTTCAAAGTGAGGTAAATGAACCAATAGTCATGGAAACCCATCATGAAAGTGATTCTGGTCAGAAAGATGGTGAGATGGATGTTGAGCCAGCACTAATTGCAAATGCTGTAGATGTCCTGGGAGAGATGTCTCTGCAAAAATGTCATTCTGTTGATGAAGTAACTCAAGTGACACCCAGTGACTGCAGCAATACTGAGATCCAGACTGAGAAGGTCCAAGTGTGTGAAGATCATGTGAAAGGTGTTAAGAGTAAGCACCCTAATTGGGAGGAAAGTCTTCATGAGGCATCCCCTCAAGCCAAAAGTATAATCACTGAAGCAGCACCCAGGCTCTTGACACGCTTGGAGAGAGCACGAATAGAAGCACTTCACAGTTTCAATGGGCAAGCTTTTGACCATGTGATAAAGACATCCACTAGAAAAATGGCCAGATACTTGACACCAATGAAACATCAGGGAACCAACACAGAGCTCCAGCCAACAATGAATACACCCTGTCAGACTGATGATTCCTTTAGAAGACACTACCCGCTTCCTAACAAGTCCTTCTACTCCAGCCTCCAGGGCAACAGCTTCCATGACAGGGACGCACTATTGGAGAGTAGCAAAAAGGTTGTGCAGACAGCCAGGTCCTTGGATACACCTTCTCCAGATCACTCACCTGCAAACTTGTGATTTTGTAGATGAACAGGAGAAATGCCATAATTTTAGCGTACTGTTTTGTTTGCTTGTCTGTTTGCATCCTAAGGAATAGTTTTAACTATTAAAACTCAAGTTTTGTTTATTTGCATTGAGTTTGGAAAAAAAACTTATTAGTGTGGTAAGTTATTATTACATTGAAGATGTTCACATTTGAGTGTTATGTTGGTGTTCATGTTTGCAAAGAGATGCTGTTCACTGGGCCAGCAAGTTCTGACAACTAATTCCTAATAAAAAGTGATTTGTGACTGCAGATGCAGATGCAGGTTTGTCATTAAAAGGCAGTAGGTGGTAGAAACTCACCTGCTGTCAGACCATTTTGTGCTGTTCACTTTGCACACCAGCCTTTTGTGATATTGAGAACTGTTGTCTAAACAAATCTTTTTGTTGTTGTTATTGTTGTAAATTAGCAATTTTCCTTTTTTTTTCTGATTTTATGGAAGAAGGATTAAACTAAAAAGTTGTATTTAAGGTAAGGACAGTGCAAGAACTGTCAGTGTTGTTGACAGCTGACTTAAAAGACAGAAAAATAAGTATTTGTGATATTAAGATTTGTCGTGTGATGAAATCTTTTTTTTTTCTGGTGAGTTATGTATTATCTTATGTTTTTTGATTTTATATAAGAAGGATCACATTAAAAACCTGTACAGGAAGTACCATGCAAAAACTGTCCGTGGTGTTAGTTCACAGCTATCTCAAAAGACAGAGAATAACTAATTTTTAAACTGCTTTTGATGTCAATGCCTGGTAAAAAAAATATTACTTAAATATACCCCAAAATGATGGAAACCATTTTTCAAAGAATTTCAAATTTCAAATGTTCCATCTTTGAAGTGTTGTGTTACACACTGAGAGGTTCCATCAGTGTAGCTCACTACACTCTATGGTCCAGTTGTTCAAAGGGCAGATGAATCACTATCCAGTGGATAAGTGTCAAGAAAAGGTACTGCACTATCTAATGGATAGAGATTTATCCAGTGGATAGCATTTCTTCAAACAACCATGGTCTGCAAGTGTATTAAGTTTCAGTTCTCAATAGCTCATTAAGCTGCCTACCTTTTTTCTGATCAGTTGTTATGATTACTGAGGTTTTGGTCTTTTTGACGTGCAACTTGAATCTGTAAAGTCATTCTGTCACACTTGCCAATATACTTCAGGGCACAACCCAGTAAACCCTGACGTTAAAGGATAAATTTGATTCAGCTGAACCGGCCAGTTTAGTCAAGATGGCAATAAAATGCTATGGATCCTATTGGCACTCAGTTAGTTTATGATTATCTGTTTAGAAAGAAATCTAGTGTTAACATGAAAATAAAAACAAATGCTGATCTTTTTGTCCCTGATTTATTTACAGAGCAACAAAACAAAGCACAGAAACTGTCCTTCTTAACCCCTTTACACTCTAACATCAGTATTCATATTCTCCGTGCTTTTCCTATACATTTCCCCAGGTGTTTTACAAGGAGAATTTGTTTAACAATCAGGGGGTTCTGTAGTTGGTGATCATTTCCTTAATTCTCTTGACCTTAATGAGTGATTCAGGGTGATATTGACAGGGGAAACTTGATGCTTATCACTTTTCAGGGTCAAAGGTTTATTAAGTGGACTATGCCCAAAGACTTGGCCTGGAGCTTAAACAATGATCCTTTGC